CCTCTCCCCATTAAAGCGCACCCACGTGGGAGCCGCGTGTCCGTCTCTTCCTTTGCGTCTCGTCTATCCTGTGTTTGTCCACACACCCTCTCCGCTGCCGTTTTTAAAGGAATAATAGAAGCAATCCAACCCGTGGCTACAGGATTGGTCCTGGGCTGCTTTAGTTTCTACCTTGGTACTGGCTAAATACTGAGAAATATGCTTGGCTTGACAAATCAAAAGCAATTCCATATATGGAGCAAGAAACCCAGAACTCACAGGCAGGGACCAGAAATGGGAAGCTGTACAAGTCACCTCGGAAAGGAGCCGTCCCAGGGAATGTAGCAGTCATGCACGCACTTGGGAAATTCCCAAGTTGTCACATGCAGTTAACTCCATTGTGGCAAGGATTCTACCCAAAACTCCTTAGGTAAAAGCAAGCCAAGTGGACAGGGTTGGGAGACTGTCTGGGCCGGGGAATGGCTAGGCCATTAGGCTGTCCACCTGGTAGGCATGGAGTCCGAATCCATGTGGGCGCCAAATAAAGAAAGACACTTAAAAGAAATCCCACACTAGCTCAGAATTGAGAAATAGATGGTTATTTATTTAGGGGTAAATTTACAAATCAGAATCCCCTGCTGGAGCGGAGATCAGAAACTGAAATCCGCAACCAGAAGAGAGAGGCTGGAAAAGAGGGCGGACACAGACTCTGCATCAGCATATGTTGTATAAGAGGCCACACCCCAGTAGGCGGGAAACCGCTAGCTGTAAGACTTCCTGTAACACCCTGGCAGATGGAGCTGTGCCGATTTTTACTATCCTTTCCTTTTTAACTTGTAATCATAAAATTAGGAGAAATCCTGAATACTCTCCTCTGTAAAAGCTCTAGAATTTTCTATATACATGATCCTTGGCTCATGGGTCAAATTAGTCTCTATGCATTTCTATTGACCTACTCTGAGTGCTGTGGGAGCTAAAATTAGTTCTCTAAACTTTATTTGCCTCCTACCTGGGTGATTTTTTAAAGCACTGCCACTTGTAGGAGATGGTGGGGCTTCACGTTGCCTCCCTGAGTCCTGGAGTGGCCCGAAGACAGTGAAGCCAGAGTTGTGGACATGGGCAGCTCCGGGATGGGAATATGCTATTTACAAACTATACAACTCTGTTTTGTTTCTGCTCCACCTTAGCTCCTCTAGCTATCAAGATTCAGCCAAGCAACTGTACCAATAACTGAATACTATCTCCTTGTTCCATGTTTATAACTATATAGACTTTTACTCCCGATTTTTATTTTCTTACTCTCTTTGCTTTTTAGATTCTAGTACTTATTTCTGAGTGCTCATTCATTTCTGTGGTGCAATTTTTGCAGGCTCCTCATGTTTTCCTCCATATGTCTGGTCACTTCTGTACATTTTGGGGTTCACCTGTCAGTTCCACACTGTTGTGCCATGTGTCAGGGTCCAGCACCAACACAAGTCATTTCTTACGAGTGTAGAGGTGTGGGAATATTAAAGACACAATTCACATGACAGTTTTGAGAAGGAGTTTCTAATGATCATTCAAATCCTGAAATCACCTGTGTTTATTTTTCAAACAGCTTTTATATAAATGTAAACTAAGGGGAAGGTAACAGAAGCCTCATTTGCATTGTTTTGCTGGGAGACTTGTCACGTCTTGCTTATACCCATTCTGTCATGTAGGCTGAAACACCTCTTCCCCATAATTACAATAGAAGGAGCAGAACGACACTGGCATATCCTAACTACTTTCAGGATGGCACCGGGTTTTCTTTACTATCAAAGGTGCTACGCAACCATCTCCTGTGTCAGAAGGTACCAGATGCACCAGTTAGTCTCACAGCTACTCCAACCATCAGACAAATGTGGGACATGGCCTGCATTCTCGGCTCCCATCGTGAACATCATAAAATTCTGGATCATTTCCTTAAGAATAATTATGATATATATGTATGTATTTGGGGTATACCATTTTATATATATATGCAAATATATATACATATTTATATAGGGAAAATAGCATCAACATAAGAAATTGATAACAAATTTAAATCTAGATGATGATACAGAATGGTGTTGACTATTCCAACTTTTCCATAAGTATCAAAATATTCATATATCTTTTGGGGGGGGAATTGAGACAGGGTCCCTCTGCGTAGCCCTGGCCATCCTGGAACTTATTCTGTAGACCAGGCTGGCCTCATAGAGATCCACCTGCCTCTACCTGCCAAGTGCTGGGATTAAAGATGTGCACTATCACTGCCTGGCTCACACATGTATTTTTATAAATGGTTTCTATTTAGCTATTTTTGTTAATGTGTTAGAGGGAGCCCACCAGAGAAGACCACTCCTACAGTTTATATTAACTAAAAAGGATTTATTCTAGCCAGCTGAGATTACAGTCAGGTATTCAGGACCTAAGTGTAGCTCTAAGCATTTAGACTAAATCCCACATCCTGTAATCTTGCTCAACAGTGCAGAAGGAGATTTTGCCCAAGCAGGCAGTTTAACAGTAGCCAAGATAAGCAGTAGCTGGAGCGGAAGTTTTGCACATATGGGCCCTTTAAGTGAAGTCAGGCAAATTATCAGGGGTAATTTGACCTCAGATTCCCTGAATAGAGTTGTGGTAATTTTTCATGAGATTCTCCATCAAGACAATCAAATTCTACTCAAATATGACAAGCCTAAGCAAGACTAAGAGATGGACGATCCTGTGGACTTTTTTGCCCTGTCACAAATGTACAGTTTATCTTATTGTGTGGGAGGAGGACATAAATCATAGAGCTTTTACCTTTCGAAATTCTTAAGGGTTTAAGCCCTTTAGAAAGTACTTATTAATCAATAGCTGTGTTTTTAACATCTCCACACAAATACTTAAGGAATGGATTTGCAACTCAAATACTTTCATATTCCTTTTTATGCAATACATGTATACAGAATGAAGTTGTTTAAAATCTAATAGAAAATGAAAGCATGAGATTTTCTAAACTATCTAAAGTACAAATGGTCTGTCATATCAGTTACAGTAATGCCAAGGGAGAAAAATGTAAAACCTATTTTACAGAACACAGGCATTGACCAAACACTCTGAAAAATCATATTACTTATTATAACTCTGTTCCCACTACTTTGACTGGCACTGGACTGGCCATTCACAAATTCTGCAATAAGAAAGCAAACATTCAGTATGTTTATGTTAAAATGACAGAAGACATAGAGCATTGATGGTGACAAGGAAGGTGCCTCAGATAAACCAAGTTTGAATAACTGCTCTCCCTAAGCTGACTGACCTAGGTGAATAGTGTTTGACAAATTACGTTTACAGAATGAGATGAGTAACTCAGGAAAGTGATGGTTATCCTTTATTTCTGACATTCAAAGATATTCTCAATAGAGTTTCATCTCTAAACAACAGACTTCCCACATTCTGATTCGCTAAGGGTTTCTTGGAATACTCTGATGTTGACCAAATCCTAGGGCAGATTAAAGTTCTTCCCACATTATTTCTAGCCAGTCTTGCCAATGAATTCTCTGACGTTCAGTAAAATTTCCATACAAAGTCTTGTCCACCATCCTTACAAGCATAGGACTCCTAACAATGACGGATTTTCTGATGTGTAAGCTCATGATTTACAATAAAGGCTTTCCCACATTCTTCACATTTATAGGGTTGCAGAACTATAAGGGCTCTGACGACGTTTCAGAGCTGAGCTAATTCTATAAATGTTCCCACATTCCTTGTATTCACAGGGTTTCACTCCAGCATGGATTCCCTTATGTTAAAACAAGGCCTCAGCTCGAATTGAAAGTCTTTGCATTCTTACAGTGACAGTGTTCAGGCCTGTATGACTGCTCCACTGTGCAGCGAAGGCTGAACTAAATCTAAACATTTCCCAACCTTCCTTAGATGCACATGGTTTCTCACCAGTGTGAATTCTCTGACATACTTCTAGATTAGAATTACCACTAAAGGCTTCTCCACATTCTCAACATTGGTAAAATTTCTCACTAGTATGACTTCTTTGATGTACTTCAAGGTCTCTACCACAAGTAAAGTACTTCTCACATTCTTTACATTCATAAGGATTCTTGTCAGTATGAATTCTAAAATGTCCAAGAAATTGGTACCGATACTGAAAGGCTTCCCCACATTCCTTACACTGAAAGGGCTTCTCACCAGTGTGGATTCTCTGGTGAATTCTAAGGCCTGTACTACGAATAAAGTCCTTCCCACAGTCCTTGCACTGAAAGAGTTTCATGTTGGTATGAACTCTCTGATGTTGACGAAGTTGGGACTGAAGTCTGAAGGCTGACCCACACTGCTGACATTCAAATGATTTCTCTCCAGAATGAATACTCTGGTGACGAGTGAGCTGTGCCAGAACAGTGAAGGCCTTTCCACACTCCTTACACTGAAAGGGTCTCTCACCAGAGTGAATTTTCTGATGTTGCATGAGGTTAGAGCGACGATTAAAAGTTTTCCCACACTCTTTACATTCATATGGCTTCACACCAGCATGAATTATCCTATGATCAACAAGGCTGGAGACACGCTTGAAAGACTTCCCGCATTCCTCACATTCAAACATTTTTTGACCTGTATGAAGAATGTTTTTGTGGTAATTAAGCTGGCTGGGAAGATGAAAAGCCTTTCCACACTCCTTACACTCAAAAGGTCTCTCACCACTATGAAATCTTTGATGTCGAATGAGATGTATATTAAGTCTAAAGACTTTCCCACATTCCTTACACTCAAATGGTTTCTTTCCAGTGTGAATACTCTGATGCTCAGTAAAATTAGAACGTCGACGGAAGTGTTTCCCACACTCCTTGCACTGATATGGTCTCTCATCAGTATGGATTCTATGATGCTCACTAAGTTGGTTCTTACGTCTGAAGGCTGACCCACACAGCTTGCACTTGAAAGGCTTCTCATTAGTGTGAGTTTTCTGATGCTCAGAGAGGTATACCTGAAGCCTAAAAGCCTTCCCACAGACACTACACTCAAAGGGTTTCTCACCGGTATGAACACTCTGGTGACGCAAAAGGAATGAGCCACAACTAAATATCTTGCCACACTGCTGACATTCAAATGATTTCTCTCCAGTATGAATGTTCTGGTGCCGAGTGAGCTGTGCCAGAACAGTGAAGGCTTTTCCACACTCCTTACACTGAAAGGGTCTCTCACCAGAGTGAATTTTCTGATGTTGTGTGAGGTTTGAGCTACGATTAAAGGCTTTCCCGCATTCACTACATTTATATGGTTTCACATCAGCATGAATAATTCTGTGTTGAACAAGGGTGGAGACACGTTTGAAGGACTTCCCACATGCATTGCATTCAAAGGGTTTTTTGCTTGTATGAACGGTTTTATGGTTATTAAGCTGACTGGGAAGATGAAAAGCCTTTCCACATTCTTTACACTCAAAAGGTCTCTCACCACTGTGAGATCTCTGATGACGAATGAGAAGTATATTAAGTCTAAAGACCTTCCCGCATTCTTTACACTTGAAGGGTTTCTTTCCAGTGTGAATACTCTGATGGTCAATCAAATTTGAACGTTGGCGAAAGAATTTGCCACATTCCTTGCACTGATAGGGTCTCACATTAGTATGAGTTCTCTGATGTTCACTAAGTTGGTTCTTTCGTCTGAAGGCTGACCCACACAGCTTGCAATTGAAAGGTTTCTCATCAGTGTGAGTTTTCTGATGCTCAGAGAGGTATACCTGAAGCCTAAAAGCCTTCCCACAGACATTACACTCAAAGGGTTTCTCACCAGTATGAATACTCTGATGTCGCACAAGGTATGAACCAGTTCTGAATATCTTCCCACACTGCTGACATTCAAATGATTTCTCTCCAGTATGAATGTTCTGGTGCCGAGTGAGCTGTGCCAGAACAGTGAAGGCTTTTCCACACTCCTTACACTGAAAGGGTCTCTCACCAGAGTGAATTTTCTGATGCTGCATGAGGTTTGAACGACGATTAAAGGCTTTCCCACACTCTTTACATTCATATGGCTTCACACCAGCATGAATAATCCTATGATCAACAAGGCTGGAGACTCGCTTGAAAGACTTCCCGCATTCCTCACATTCAAATGGTTTAGTACCTGTATGAATGGTTTTATGGTACTTAAGCAGGCTGAGAAGTTGAAAATCCTTTCCATATTCCTCACATTCAAAAGGTCTCTCACCACTGTGAGACTTCTTAAGTTGTTGGTGGAATCTGAAGGTTTTCCCACAATCCTTACATTCACAGGGTTTCTCTCCAGTATGCATACTCTGATGCTGAATAAGAGTTGAACTACAACCAAAGTATTCACCACACTCTTTACATTCATAGGCTTTTTCTATATTGTGAACAAGAGTCTGACAGGTGTAAGTAGGCAGATTTTCTTTGTTACTAATCTTTTGATCAACATGTCCTTGGTAACTCTGTAGTTCCTTGAATGTACTATAACTGGGGCCATTGCTGAAACTGGAGGCCTTGAGGTCAAAAGCTTTACTTAATTGTTGATTACTCTGTTTGAGTAGATTTCTATTATAAATATGATTTTCTGGAGATGTATTTTCAGCTTCATTACATGACTCCAAATCTGAAAGAAAAGAAGTGAAAATACATTATTTTTCTATAACAAAAACACATTTTCCTGTAACATAAAATTTTAAATGAACAGACAGGCTCTAAGTCAGACTCTGAAGTTTCAGAGAAACTGAAAAGGAGCAAGTACAGCAGCAATAATAAGGCTTATATGAGACAATACTCTTTATAGCAGAACAGATTGTAAATGGGAAGAAGTATCTGTTTAATGAAATTATAACAATTAATCTGAAATAGTCTTATGTCCTTCTTTCCATACTACTTAAAATAAACACCTTTTAGTAAAGGTTTTTGAAACAAATCATGAAAAAAAGAGTATACCACACAAACATATAATAAGTGTCATGCTTTAAGAAAACTGGCCTGACTGGGACTTCTTATAAAGGACGTAAAAGTCTGTGCTGATGGTGGTGGTACAACTGTAACCCAAGCAAAAAGGATCCAGTAGTAACAGCGGCTTGAGTTTCAGGCCATCATTGTCTAGATAGTAAGATCTGTCTGTGAAAAATAAAAACAAGCTATAAAACCAAAGCAAACCAACAGAAAGAAAGTGGGGAAGAGAATTCATTAAAAATTTTAAGAAGACTAAGGATCTCCAGGCAGGGAAACAGGTCTTTCCCTGCAGATCTTTACCTATCTCTCCTCTCCTCTAATCCGTCCCATAGTCTTATCCCTAGCTATGTAGCAGACCACCTGCTGTGGTATCCTCTTCATTCCTGCCTTGATCTCCCATATACCCAAACTTAAGGAACACAATGAAGCGAGTTCTATGAGGCACATTCATAGCACTGTTTACATACATAGAACAACTGGGAGAGATCTCTCTCAAGCAACTTAATAGCACAACTAAAAGCTCTAGAACAAAAACATGAAATTACACCCACAAAAAGTAAACAGAAAGAAATAATTAAACTTGCAGCTGAAATAAATAAAATAGGAACAAAGGAAAGAAATACAAAAAAACAAAACAAAACAAAACAATGAAACGAGAAGCTGGTTCTTTGCGAAAATCAGTAAGATTGACAAACCCTTAGCCAAATTAACTAAAAGACAGAAGATCCAAATTAACAAAATTAGAGATTAAAAAAAAACCATAACAACCACACCTAGGAAATCCAGAGAATCATTAGGACATAAAAGCCTAAACTCTGCCAAATTGGAAAAATCTAAAAGAAATGGGTAAATTTTAGGATACATACAACTTATGAAAGTTAAATGAAAATCAGATAAGAACAGAATAAGAATAGAATCAGTAACATTAGTCTCCCAAACAAACAAACAAAAAACTATATAGGGCCAGATGGTTTTAGTGTAAAAAATCTACCAGACTTTCAAAGAAGAGTTCAGCTCCAAAGCTATACAGAAAAGCCTTGTCTCTCAAAAAAACAAAAATAATAATAATAATAACAATAACAACAATAATAATTTGGAAAAATCTCAGCAACGTGGAACTATACAGCATAACTGCTTACTCCCCACACAGGAACCCCTATTGTGTCCCCCAATTACACCAGGAATAGAAATGGAGAAGTGAAAGATTTACTGACTGGGCATACCTAGTCACAGGGATGAAAAACTATCTGGAGAAACCCAGTGCCCATGATGAGTGGCTTATGGGTAAATGGGAAGATCTGGGATGCCCCACGATGGAGCTGCCATATCTGATGGGAATGGAAGAGTCAGGAAGCCAGCACAGCTGTCTGACAGAGATCCAGCAAAGTGGAGCCACACAATGGTTCTGATCTCCACATGTTGCATGCTTGCGAAGGATTTATTCTGTACAACTTAGGGGCAGTGGATTGATGGAAATTTTCTTAGGAATCATTTATGCCTTTTCCCAGAATACTGCTTCTAAGCTTCCCCATGAAATTCCTGAACATACTACCCCTCCCAATTTTAGGAAGATATCCTTATCTACTTGAAGGTCTTGCTTGGGCCTTGGAAGTTGTGATGTACACAAGAAGTCAGAACTCTCTTTATAAGGCTCTGAAACATTCTTAAAACATCTGCACCTACACTTGCCCAGCAACAAGATGATCAGAACAAAGGTCAGCAAGACTCGGTGGCTGGTGGCCGCAGATCAGAAGTCTCTTCCCACTATACACTCAAGTGATTATGTGGCATCTACAGCAACAAAGTTAGGTTAGCTGGAGTTCCTCTGCCCTACACAGGGACTTATATTGATGGGCAAAGAATAAGGTAGAAAGATGATAAAAGAGTGAGGTGTCAGGACCCCCCTTTCTGAGAAAATTAGCTCATGCAGAGGCACTGTGATGTCATGTGACCAAGGAACAAAAGAAGCCAGGATTAGATATATAAACAAATTCTATAAAGATACAAAATGCAAACATTGTATTATGCCAGAAACTGAATAAAAACTGCAGCAGCTCTGGCCTGAGGAACTTTCTTGGGCACCCTGACCATTAAGAGTTAATAATAGAGGGAGGGGGACTTGATTGGGGGAGGGGGAGGGAAAGGGGAGGCGGAGGTGGGGAAGAGACAGAAATATTTAATAAATAAATAAAAAAAAAGAGTTAATAATACACTGCTTGGGATAGGCCAACTGCCCGGGCTGGCTTGGGGATTTTCTTTCTAACATCCTTGAAGCCACAGAGCTACCAGCCTGAGAAAAGGCTGTCATATCCTCTAGATTCTTAAAAATTGGGGTATGGGGTTGATGAGTAAAAATGCTTATAAAAAGTAACTGTTTATCAAGGATGACTAAACCTGAGAGAAAATGATTGTGAAATAACTCTGTTCTATCACGGTTCATCAAAAATGACTACCCTTATGACCCCAGATGTGCAAGAAAAAAGTTTAATACATGTCCAGAAACAGAAATGATATGATCTATGCTGTGGAACAACATGAACCTTTCCCTGCTTATTGAATTCTGTATAAATCAAGAAGCAACTCTGATTGCTAGTCAGTCAGGCTGCAAGATTCTCGCCACCACCATGGCCTGCCTCACACCTTCCCTGTTGCCTATTCCTTATGTCCTCTCTGAAACCTGTCAACAGCCAGGGCTTGGTCCCCAACACTATGGGGAATAGATTCTGTTGAGAAGTTAGACTGGCTTGATCCCCCTCTGCCATATATAGGAACATACACTGTAGGTATCAGAATGTTATGGTATAATGGAAAGTGAGCTTATGAGAGGAACAGGCCCATATCATAAGACTAAGGCACAAAGGAAGGCAATTTGGAAACAGCTCTGGGCTTGTTGAACTATGTGGTACAAACACCATGCCATGCCCTTGAAGAATGCTAGCTACTCTTATGAGTTTATCTCTCAGGACTTCTGACACCTCCTGGCCACAAAGGCTCAGTCAGTGCAGCAGGAAGTGTAGGGGGGCACCTGGCGGGGTTACTGAACCTTAGAGGACAAGAGGCATTTAGATTCTTGCTAGATTTATTGTTTTTTGCTTCAAGAAAAATGCCGTAGTGACATTGATGACCGCGTTTACCCCAGTATTAAGTCTCCTTTTAATATTGCTTATGGTTAAACTACAATGCACTTTCAGAGTATATCAGGTGCTGCCTATTTTGAATAAACAGGCAGCCACCCTGACCCACCCTTACCAGGTAAGTCTCCTTCCTTCGCTGACTCCATACCTCCTCTTTGGGACCTGAACCCCACTGGAGCTGGACACAGGCAACACCCCCAGGCCGAGCAAGGTGGGCGGCTGTGTGTGTAATCACATGTTGTTTCATTCGCTTGGCCATCTACTCTCTCTGAGTCAGGGTCCCTCATGTACCTGGAGTTAACAGTAAACTAGACTGACTTGCCAGCAGTGAGAAGCACAGGCTACACCATCACACCATCTTTAGAGTGTGTGATTATTAGACAGTTGAAAATATATACAATGTATCCCTGGGCTACTGTTTGCACAGGTATTCAAACTGTCTTCTCAGTGGATCAGAGGTTAGGAACATTGTAATTCCAGAGGACCAGAGTTGAGTACCAGCAGCCACCTGTAACTCTAGCCCCAGGGGATCTGACTCTCTCTTATGGCCCCTTTGGGTACCTGCACACACGCGCACACACACAACCAATAATAAAATACATTTAAAATGACACAAAGAGGGTAACTGCTCCAGTACGAGGGAAGAGGGGAGAACAACTAAGACTCATGAACAAGCAGCCCCTGTGGCAGCTTTTGCTATGACCTTGACTTCCTTCCCAGGTCTCAGGCACGTTCTTCCACAGGCCCTGGCACTCTGAAGGGAGTGTGTCAACCCCGGGTCAGGCATGGGGACCTCTCCGACCACACGCTGAGATGGCAATGCTGCAGCCCTGCCTTCCTCTTACTCACCTGGGCTGGGCCTGTCTGCTTCTTCTGTCACAGCCATCCAGGGCTCTCTCTCCTGCTCCAGTAAGGTGATCAGATCGGGTTTGGAAATGGAACTTCCCACTTAAA